TAAAGAGGGGCCTAAATATGATAAAAATTTAATGTATAAAATTTCAATTTTTCAATGAAAAATTAAAAGAAATAAAAGGTACACTTTCTCCCCACCCAGACTCATGCCCTCCTTGACTTCTATCTCTGAGATTGAAATAACAGTTATTTTCCTAATCAGAAATCATTTGTTATCTTTACTATCCCTCTCTTTGCTCTCTGTGTTGTGTTAGCTTTCTGGCATATGATCAAAATACCTGAGATAATTAATCTACAAAGAGAAAAAGTGTGTTATAGCCCAAGTTCTAGAAGCTCTAGTCTGTGATTGGTGGGTCCACTCACCTGAGCCTGAGTCAAGGCAGCATAGCATGATGCCTCCATGACAGAGCAACATCCTTACCTTATTCAGGAAGTGAAAGAGAAAGAAGGAACTGAGTCCTCTAGTCTCCTTCAAGGCACTCCTCTAGTGACCTCAGAACCTTCTATGGCATTCTACCTCCTACAGGTCCCACCACCCCACAGTAATACCATCTTTCAGACCCTTCAGATCTTTTGATCATTATGTAAACACTTTTGATGGGTACTTACCTAAGCTATAGCATATACCTCTCAGCAGTTCTGGGGATTCTACCTCACAAATATCCCCACGTTTTGCCTCCACACTTGATTCTACTCTTGTACCGTCTCACCTGGACTGTAGAGTGATAAGGCCAACCTGTGACTTGCGTTTACAAATTAAGAAATTGAAGTGCAGACGTTTACACAATGTGTCCAAAGTCAGTATAGGAGTCAGCCTTTGAAAAGGAAGGTTGTTCTCCAAGACTGTGGTCTTGAACTCCTACAACAGACGCCATTTTCATAGGCTAGACGTGGTGGCCCCTGCCTATAATTCTAATGTTTGGGAAGCAGGGGAAGGAGAATCATATGTTTGAGGCAAACCTGGGCTACATAGCAAGACTGTACCTCAAAAACAAAAACAAACAGATGTTGTATTTATTAGCTACCTTCAATACCTGAGATCACCAATGGTACAATTTTATTATAGAGATCTATTTAAAAGAAAAAGTCCTAGGATAAAATAATTCACTCAAAGTGAGGAAACTTTGACTGGAGGTATTATGAAAAGACAACATATCTGTCTATCTCATCATCTTAATGATTTCCTGCCATAAATCTAGCTCTCATTCCCTGAAGCCTCTAGCCCTTTAACTTGTGTGTTCTCCTGACTCTGAAAGATTGTAAAGTATGTTTTCTCAGCCTTTGTAACTTTCTTCCTGCTAGACTTTCTTAGATCAGCTCTTTCTGTTTCTTTGAGTATTTAGTTAGCTAGTTAGTTAGGTTTGTTTTTGTGGTGCTGGAAATTGAACCCATGTTAGGCAAGTGCTTTAGCACCGAGCTATGTCCCCAGCCTCTGTGGATTTTCATTTCTATATTTCTCATCACTTAGAACCTGTGCCACAAAGGGGCCAACAAAGCATAATAACCCCCCCCTCAAAAGGAGGGCCTGGCATGACAGGGAGACCAATCACTCATAGAGAGAGAGAGGGTTGACAAATTCTTAACATTTTAACTTTTCATACTTTTAAATATATAATACCCAATCAATTTAATTCAATTAAAGTGCACAAATCAAATATAGATAGCTTGATTCATTTTTATGCCACCCAGATCAAGTGCATCCAGGCCCCCCAGGGGGCTCCCCCTTCCCACTGGTATCTCCTACTCCCTATGCCCCCTGTATCAACAGACCAATTTTATGTGTTCTCAAACTTGATATAAATGGACTATTAAAATCGATCCTTGTTTATGTCTGCTTGCCCAACATTATAGCTATGCTTCAGGGCTCTCGCCTTTTTGTATAACATTTATTGAGTATTCCAGGTTAGCCATCTTACTTATGCCTAGATTTAAGTTGCTTCCAGCTTTGACTGTTAGGAATGCAACTTCTCTTGAGCATTTGTGAGTCAGCCTCTCAGTCAGGAATGTACCCTGAGCTGAAATTGCAGGCTCTTTGAATAAAGCTTGTGTAGCATTAGTAAATATTGGCAAATAAAGATTTATTAGGTTTAATTCTCATTCTCATATATCTGAATCTGCTATACTTAGTGTAATATTCTTTCTCTTAGTAAGCTTGTAGTAAAATTGATTATTACTGAAATGTGAACATTTTGGCTAATATTCTCAGAATAATTAGCACTTGGTACATGTGTCATTTGTCATCCTACTTTGTCCTTATTTATCTAGATCATTGATCCTTTCGTTGAAGTTGAAATTATTGGCCTTCCAGTAGATTGCTGCAAAGATCAAACTCGTGTGGTGGATGACAATGGTAAGATGGTGACGCATGCCCAGTCCCAAAGAGGATTTTCTCAGCTGTGACTTGCTGGAAAATGTGCTACTTAGAGAAGCAAGGAATCACTAGAATCTATAACCGCTATCTGAATTTCTGTTGTGATTCTTTGTAGCACAGAAAACTGGGTAACTGGGATTGATTCGAGGTATATTTTGAAGGAATTGCAGTCTAGGCTCTTGGGACTCTTGCTGTGTCTTTCTATGGAAAAGAATGAATGATATTTTAAAGATCTGGGTTCAAAATTCCACCTAGGGAAACACCTCCTAGTGTATTTTTTATAAATCCTGTGTTCTTTTTTAAAAATGTATTTTATTTTTATTTCATATGTATGAGTGTATTGCCTGCATGTATGTAGGTGCACCCATGTCATCCAATGCTCTCAGAAGAAGGCATTAGATCTCCTGGAACTGGACTTATGAACAGTTGTTAGCCGCCATGTGGGTGTTGAGAATTGAACCTGGGTCCTCTGTAGGAGCAGCCAGTGCTCTTAACCACCGAGCCATCTCTCCAGCTCTGAGTCCTGTGTTTTTATAAATGAGTCTCCTCAGCCTTTCACTTGTAGAGACCACAGGTCTAAGGATTTCTCCTGGTTTTTGTTTCTTTGTTTTTCAATTTGACCTTGAAAAATTTTATAGATCAGCACGGCATGCTCTAGCATGTTCATATCTCAAATATATTCATATACTGGGTGGCCGGCATTCTCTCATTAGCAGAAAGGAAGCTTATTTTGCCCAAATCTCCTATCCTTTTCTGGGTAATCTTGTAAAATTATATTTGTTTGTTTGTATATTTAACAAGTATTATTGCATATATAGTTTTCTCAATGTCTAGCAATTAATACTCTAAAGTAATTTTAAACCATTGTTACCAAAACATTTGAAAAGTCAGGGTTCACAGAGAACCTTTGAAGGAATGTAGGTGTTCAAAGTAAGATGAGCCTCTAAGGAAATAGCATGCTTAAAGAAAGCAATCTTCCTGTATTGGATTTTCCCACTAGTGCTCAATAAATTATTCCTTCTTCGTTGCAGAAGTAACTGAGAGGTCATTACAAAGTCAACAAAAAAGATAATCTCTTTGTTCGTGAGGAGAATCGCAGTGATTTTCAGCTTGTCAGTATTTAATTAGCTTGAGGCTTTTTATAGGGCAAAGTGGTTGACACCCGAATGCATATGTTTGATAAAGCTTACTTTCATTATTTCCAGAAAGAAACCAGAAACTTAGAGACTATTTCAATTTTTACCATTTTTATTTTATCACAGAGAATTTCACCAGAAATAGATACAGTTTGTCTTTAGTGCTTATTTTAGTACATTTTCCATTTCTCCGATGATGCTTGAAGCTGAGTACCTTCTGGTAAGAGGTTTATAAAAGAGCTTGTAGCTTTGGAGGCTAGAAGTCTAAACAGCATGGCACTGGCTTTTGTGAGGGCTCCTCTCACTGAGTCCCATCGGGGAAGATGGCCTCATGTGAGATGGACAGGTGACATGGCAACATGACAAGCCCACGAGCATGAGGGTAGACAGGCGAGAATGAGAAGGAACCAGTGGCCTGTGAGGACTCATCAGCATTTTCTGGGTATAGCACCCCAATGACCAAACAACCTTGCCCTTGGTTCCCACGTCAAAACATAGGTCACACTGATGGCCAAGATTTCTACTTAAGAATCTTAGGCGACAAACCACATCTGAACGCTTGCAGTATTTGAATGGAATCTTAATACCTTTCATTTTCAGTATGTGGGAATATAGCAAGTTCTTCATAAAAAGCCCCTAAGAATCCACACTGAACAGTCTGATTTGGTTCTCTCGCTTACGGTATGACCTTAGGCACACTTTTTGTGACTATCAATTCTCTCACCTATGAAGTGAGTTGCAAATATTTCGTACTTTTAAAAGTATAAATTTGAAAAGGTATATAGTTTTTAAAAGATATTTTATTTATTTTTATTTTATGTGTATGAGTGTATTGCCTGCATGATGTAAATGCATTTATGTCATGCAGTGCCCTTGGAGGTCAGAAGAGGGTGTTGAATTCCCCTGGAACTGGAGTTATAATGGTTGTTAGCCACCGTGTGGATACTGGGAACTGAACCCAGACCCTCTGCAAGAGCAGCCAGTGCTCTTAACTGCTGAGTCATCTCTCCAGCTCCTGAAAACTTATAAAGTTTTGAATCTCAATAGTACATGTATGTTTTTCTTAATTAGACAAAATTGAGTGTGGTAACAGGTCTGTAATCCCACAACTTAGTAATGACTGAGTGTGGTAAAACAAAACCAAAAGAAAACCCCTAGGCCCCTGCCCTGCTACTCTTAGAGGTCGCTGCAGGAATTAGCTAGAACTGTATATACATAATTATATTGAAACCTACAAAGCACCAGATGAAATAGTTGGTGATGGTTATTCCAACAGGAGAATCTTTGCTGGGTAAAAAATATTCCTATATTAGGGAGTAATATTCTGCATTGTTTTTGCTAAAATACTCTTAGAACACTACTCTAATTTTTAAACTTATTGAAGCATTTTTAATGACTACTAATAAGCTTCCTGTACAATACAAGTGGGCATCAGAGACTAATAGAATTGATGTGATAATTTACAGGCAATTTTCTTACCAATTATTTTCTAGCAGTGGGATAAGTTCAGAGGCTTTGTTTCAGCAAGGCATCCTGGAGAGGTTCAGTCTTCTTCATGAGTTTAATAACCATCACAGGCAATATTCACTGCCTGCTCTATAGACATTGCTGACAAATGATTTCCAGCCAAGCCCTTTGCTTTTCTGATTTTTCCTTTTTCTTATTTCTTTGAGGATTTAACCCTGTTTGGGAAGAAACCCTAACATTTACAGTCCACATGCCAGAAATAGCTTTAGTTCGGTTCCTTGTGTGGGATCATGATCCCATCGGACGGGACTTCGTGGGACAAAGGACTGTGACCTTCAGCAGCCTAGTGCCTGGTAGGTGTGAGCTGGCCTCTTGTCTCTAGATTGGCCATTCCTTTTTTGTTTTCACTGTCTAGGGGATTGAATCCAGGGTCTTACTACATCGTGGGCTAATGCTTTTTCTTTGGGTAGATTTAACATATGACATGGGACTTGCAGGATATTTATCATATTCATTATATAAATTATGTGTTTATGATAAATATAACTGTTAACACGCTGTGTAACATATGAAAAGGACGTCAACACAGCTACTTGATTCTCTTGTTCCCTCTGGAAAGCCAAATGCAAATTCAACTAAAAGCAACCAACTTTCTTTGTACTAGGCTATCGGCACGTCTACTTGGAAGGACTCACAGAGGCGTCTATTTTTGTTCACATAACAATCAATGAAATCTTTGGAAAGGTGAGAAAAATCATAGGCATACAACAATAATATGGGCCTCAAAGAGTTATAATTGCATAAAAGGAATGCATATTTTGACAAATTGTTCTTTCCCGGAAGCCTGTGGGAAGTCCAGCCAGCTCTCTAGCCACATCCCCATCCACCGGTGCTCTTCCCTGTTCTCAGGGGTGTGTACCATTCCTAACTCTCAGAGGTCCTCTCTCAGTTTAGTAGAATTGAGAAGACTATCCTATTTTTCAGGCAATCGTTTATTTGATGAAAATAATGAACATGCAGTTAAATTTTGAATTTTGCTGCAATTCTTGAAAAGCCCTAGTTTTCTATATTTGAAAAGGAGGTGTCTCAGAGATTTGATAGATGGGTTATGCTAATTTAGCTATGATTCCAGCCAGGTCTGGGCAGGATGCATTCATCTGAAACTACTGTAAATTGAAAATTGGAAAATTGTGAGTGAATTTAAAACTACCCACATAAGGAAGAGAGCGAGAAGGAGGGGGAGACAGAAAGCGAGGGGTAGAGGGAAAGGAAGGAGAGGGGGAGAGGGAAAGGAAGAGAAAAGGAGGGAGGTGAAGTATCACAAAGGTGTCTAACCCTCCCCTGCTGCTCCCTTTGCTGTAGAATGGGCTGGTGCTGTGCACATCAGTGTGTGGTCCTCTGATCATGCCAGGTGCTTGGTCCCTACTATGAATTTTCAGGACCAGATGTGACTTGAAGGGAATGTAGCATGGAACAGTGCCCAGGAGTGCCTGGTGCTGCTGGTTTCCACAGTCTGTCCTGCCTGTAGCTTCTTCAGAGTCTTAGCATTCTCTGTGCATTTGCTGTCCATGTGTAAATGTGAGGGAAAAACAGGACCTACCTCATAAGTAAGTTTATTCTAGTCCTCAAAAGCTGCCTGGCATGGAGTAAACGCATACAATATTGGCTTGTATTAATATCACCATGACCACAATCCAATTAGGAATTGGATTAAGGAGTTTGTGTTTACCTTCATATCAGTCAGCAGAAGGGAACTAAGGATTTTTATTTCTGAAAATGGTTAAGTTTTATACCACAGCTTTCAATGTTTAATATTGAATCTTGATTTCTACTGCTTGTTGACATTTTTCTTTTATTTATTTATTTTTTTAATTTAATAACCCACATGATTAGAAGAAGCATTTCATTACAGCTTTAACATATTCAGTAACAATTTCTAGAGCAAGGATACATCTATTTCAAAAGTGACTGTAAATTTTTGGGTTCACAGTTGAATTAATACCGTTCTATCAGCATAAATAGACACACATATATATGATCTTAAAATTATGCTTAAATTCTAGAAACCCCAATTGAACTATGCAATATTGCTAACTCTCATCACAGTGAAGGGAAACAAGATTCAGTGTCTGTTTGAAACTTGATCCAGAAATAAAATGTAACAAAGAAAGTATTCTATAGAACTTCTGTTCTTATTCCTAAATAAATGGCCATTTTTGAGTCATTTATTATTGTCAGTGTATGTTTGGGTTGGGATGCTCAGACCAAAATGTGATGGTATTGAGTTGGACGAGGAATGAATGGATACAAGATTGTGGGAGAAAGGGTCTGTATAAGTATATACATTTTTTCTTTTGTGTTTACTGGTACCATCTTCTTGAATGAGCCCAAATGGTGTTGTGTTCTTGTTTTCTCCCTTGCAGTGGAGCCCTTTAATCCTCAACCCCAGTTATACCATATTGCACTTTCTAGGAGCTACAAAGGTAGTTTCTGAGCATGCCCCCCCCCCCGTTCTGGCTGGCATATTCTTTTTAAGTGATTGTGGTAGCTGTGGTAGCATGCACCCTCATACCATTCCATCATCTGCTTACCACTTTGAGACATACATATGTTGCTTAAAGGCTGTTGAAGTTTGTCGCCTCAGAAACATTTGTACCATCTTATTGCCACTGGGTAGGAAACTTCTGGAAAGGTTGGTCATGTAATTGGAAGACCGCCTTCCTTACAGAATAAGGTCGATGAGATGTGCATGGGGCTGTGTGAACCCGCTGTGCGCTGATCCTTTCTTGTCGTAAATATGGCTGTCAAATTTCACTTCGTATTCATTCTTCATGGAGGTGGCATTTCAAACACAGGTTGTTCTTATGATGACATGTATTTAATTTGTGGCTGATTCTTTTGTGTCTTCAGAACAGACAGCTCCAAGGTCTGAAGGGACTGTTCAATAAGAATCCCAGGCACACTTCTTCAGAAAACAACTCCCATTATATTCGGAAGCGATCAATTGGAGATAGAATCCTGCGACGGACAGCCAGTGCTCCGGCCAAAGGCAGGAAAAAGAGCAAAATGGGTTTCCAAGAAATGGTTGAGATAAAAGATTCTGTCTCTGAAGCCACAAGAGATCAAGACGGAGTCCTGAGGAGGACCACTCGGAGTCTTCAAGTGCGCCCTGTCTCTATGCCTGTTGACAAAAGTCTTCTGGGGGCTTTGTCACTGCCTATATCAGAAGCAGCAAAAGGTACCGAAGGCAAAGAACACTCTCTAGGTAAGGTGCTTTAAACTTCTCAAAACCGTATTTTGGTTCTTTGTTTGCATTGTGACATACTACCATTCTGCAATTAAAGTAGGCTGGTAATAGATAATTTTTTAAATGTTAATTCTATGCCAGCCTTAAAATGTCTTTGCTGCCTGCAAATGATGGTGGGGAAGGAGAAGATCTGATGGCCTGGAATATGTAGGTCATTGAGAGAGAAGAGAGGGAGAAAAACCTGCAAAATACAAGTAGAACACTGGTTTTCTAAGTCATACCATATTTAGAATTGGGACAAAGGGTTTAAAGAAGCATTGTCCTGAGATGATTCTAAGATTGGATAGGATTATATTGGCTTTTCTAGGATTGAATATGTTGCATTACTTTTCACCACTTAAAACACTTAAACCGAGTATGGTGGTGTATACCTTTAATCCCAGCTTACACAGGCAGAAGCAGGTGGATTTCTGTAAGATCGAGGCTAGCCTGGTCTATATAGCAAGTTCCTGGCCAGTTGGGGCTACAGGGAAATCCTGTCTCAAAAAACAAAACAAAACAAAATTTCTTTTCCATAATTGGAAGTGTTTATGGTGAATGGGGAAAAAAGGTATTAAAAGCCAGTCACCTCCCTCACTTGAAAAATCTTTTCTTCCTCAAGATGTGGTTGAAGCAGTGTTTGCCTGTGGTCTCACTTACCTCCTCTGCATGGTGCCAGGGAATGAGGCGTGGCCCTGGCTCTTGCCTGGTTGTGGGCTCTACAAGCTGAGCAGCACCTTTGTCCTTAACTTGAAGTGCTGTGAACTCATTAGCACTTGAAGAACTGTGATAACTTTACAAACTGACGAAAAGCTCTTGACTTGCATCTAACTCTCCATCCTGCTCCAAAATTGTCCATTTACTGCTTGTAGAATTACCTCAGACAAGTAACACCTGATTTTTACACATTAGCAAAATTATTTTATCAAACAACCTAATTTCAATGATATATCTTCTCACAAATATCATTTTGCTTGTGCTGATTCTTGTTGAGGGATTTTCTGATTAGAAAAAAAGCCAGTTCTTGAATAGTTTATTAGGAAAAGAAAAGGGAAGATTCAAAGTAAAAATTTCCTGGAGTTCTTAGGCCCTTGACTCTGTCCCTAGCAGTAGAAAAAAAGAAGCTTGAAATTTTGCTAAGAATAGTGTCAGAGAAGAATGAAAACATGTAGCCTAATTAATGTATTTGTTTATTTATTTATTGGGGTTTTTTGAGACAGGATTTCCCTGTAGCCCCTGCTGGCCTGGAACTTCCTGAGTAGACTAGGCTGGACTTGATCTCATAGAGATCCACCTGCCTCTATCTTCCAAGTGTTGGGATTAAAGGTGTATGGTACCACATCTGGCTTTGAGTTTTATTTTAAAAACTCATCTTGAGGGAAGTGAATCTGTTTTCAATAGAAATCTGTAATAACTAGTCCTGCTAATTCTGCAAAAGACGTTAAGTCTATTTAGAAACCTTGGAAAGCAAAACTGCAATGTTGTTTCTTGCCTACATTTAAGAAGTTATATGAATTAATCTCATATATTAAACTCAAGGCAAATGTGGAAGCACACCTACTCATGAAATGAAGCTATATTGCAGAAAAAGTTAAGTGGAGAAAAAGCAACATAAAAGATTCTAAACATTATTTCCCTCTGCAGAAGTGGCCGCTTCTGAAAGTGATGTCATAGTTAATTTTTTCTTTATGATTTGGGGGCGGAGCTTAAATTTTTTACGATGAAGAAATTGTTAGTGAGGAAAATATTTATGTGAAAGAAATTCTTTCCACATATCTTGACTCTACAAGATTTAGAAGACTATTAAAATAATTGGATCAAGAATAATGGAGCATGTAACGTTCTCTAAGCACATACCAAACATGATGAGGTGCCCCAGGTTGCTGTGAACTGTGTGTTTCAACAATTTTCCTTATTTCTACCTTACTACCACTTTGAAGGGGTGGGGAGAATGCGGTATGATGTTTCTGTGATGAAAACAAAAATACAACTAAGGAACTCTTAGATGGTAGCCGTGACACAGAATTGATGACTGATTTCTTTTACCTTTGCATTTTAACTCAATAGATATTACCATTCTGATGCACATATTGCACCTTCCAAGCGTGCTAGAAATTAATTGGTCAGATTAAATCTTTTTGCCAAATGTCTTTTAAAATGATGTTATTTACGATTGCTCTTTAATAATAAACGTGTAACTTTGAAGCTTTCAGTGTCTTGCTTGCAGGTCCCACAGTGCTTTGTTTAACAGAGCTGTCTCGTTCTGTTTCTATTGCCATGCTTCTGTGTAGTACAAATCTGAATAGGAAACAACATAAGGTAATGCTCACTGTGAAAGTATAGTAACTCATTGACATTTTTTGGACAATGAATATTACATCCTTAGCTGATGTAATAGATATTCAAAGGGAAGCTCAGTGAAATTCCTATAAATATATTTTACCATTGATCCATCACACAGACGCTTCGTTGCAAACCTCTGCGATCCATATTTATATTGTCACAATGTAAACAGATTTGCATTCTCCATTTGTCTGTCTCAAGACAAACATGAATGTTTGCAGGTTCTGTGTAAAGTGATACACTTCACCTAAAATGTTATTTGTTTTATTTAACAGAGGAGAAGGATGGCAGAAGAAACGGGAAGGCAAGTATAAACGACCCACATTTTCTAAATTTCAGCAAAAAGTTCTCCTCCTCCTCCAGTGCTCTCCTCCACAAAGATGCAAACCAAAAGGAGTGCAGTGTTTCAACTGCTGGGGGGTCAGTCACAGAACAGTGTGGAGGGCCAGCTCTGAAGGGTGGGAGGACCAAACCAAATGTCTCAAGTGATGGCCAGGAAAACCATTGTCCCAGCAAATTCCTCTCCCCGAGGAAGCACTGGGCTCTTGATCCTGCACAAGATCTGCGAGGAGTCACTACCAAGGAAATGGGGCGTGCCGGGGGCTTTGTGGTAGGGAAAAACATGTCCGAAAGCGTCCTTTCTCAAAGCGCTGTGGAGATCAAGAACCTGGAAGGCAGCAGGGCCAAGGGCAGTGCTGCAACATCCTTTTCTCTGTCGGATGTCTCCATGCTCTGTTCTGACCTCCCTGACCTACATTCAACTGCCATTCTGCAGGACACTGAAATTTCCCATCTCATTGACAATGTCACTTTAACAAATGAGAATGAGCCCGGCAGTTCCATCTCAGCACTGATTGGCCTGTTTGAAGAGACCAACCATCAGGCTAATCTTGTGGAGGTTTCTCATCTTCATAGCACCAGTATGATATCCGGCCATGCTCCTTTAACTCCTGCCCCAGGCCTACAAACACCCTTCAAGCATGGTTTTTCCCAGGGGAAACCTAAGGCATCCATCTTGTGCTCATCTCCTGAGCTAATCAAGCCTTCGAGTTCTGAGACTACCAAACCTTTGAATTACTCAGTTGTTTGTGGAATGATGGGCTCACCCATCTCTCAAATGAAACCAGATGATGACCCTTCTAGAAATGCCAAGGCAAGGCCCATGGACAACAACCTGCCTAGGTCCCCTAATGCTTCTCATGGCTGGTTCCCCAAAAGTCCCACCCCTGGAGAGGCCCAGGGACAATTGATGAACAGCCCTACTGTTTACACTGGGCTGGTACTAGCTGAGCCCACTCCCTGTGTAAATTCTGAAGAAAGCAGCCTTGTGGAAATTGATGGAGAGTCTGAAAACCTGTCTCAAACAATCTGTGAATATAAGGGAGAGGGCACAAGTCAGCTTGCTTCCCCATTAAAGCTGAAATACAACCAGGAGATGATGGAACACATTCAGAGGAGCTTGAGGAATGGCTACTGTAAAGAGACCCTCTGTCCTGCCCCTGAAATGTTCAATAATGTTCCCAGTGTCAAAAATCAAAGTATCTCTTGTCTAACCTATCAGGGTGCTGGCGTTGTGCATAATCTATTGCCAAGTCCAGATGCAAAAACGAACCAAATATGTGGACCCCAACAGTCTAGCACTCCAGATATGCATGCCCCCATGCCCATACAGTCAGCACATGCTCCTTTGCCTGCTTTGAAACTGCCAAGTCCTTGCAAATCAAAAAGTCTGGGGGACTTAACATCAGAGGACATTGCCTGCAATTTTGAGAGTAAGTACCAATGTATTAGTAAGAGTTTTGTGACAAATGGCATTAAGGACAAGAAGGGTGTGCCTATAAAGACAAAGTCATTAGAACCTTTAGATGCCCTAACGGAGCAGCTTCGGAAGCTGGTATCCTTTGACCAAGAAGACAGCTGTCAAGCGCTGTATTCAAAACAGGATGTCAATCAGTTTCCTAGGGCATTGGTCAGAAAATTGTCATCTAGAAGTCAGAGCAGAGTGCGCAACATTGCTAGTCGTGCTAAGGAGAAGCAGGAAGCAAGCAAGCAAAAAGTTGCAACCCACAGCATGGGGGGAGGAGTGGTCCTTAGAAGCAAGCCCTCAGCACCTGCCCCTACTGTGAATCGTCACTCCACAGGCTCATACATTGCAGGCTACCTGAGGAACATGAAGGTGGGCAGCCTGGAGGGCCGTGGCATCCCAGAGGGGGCATGCACGGCCCTTCGCTATGGCTACATGGACCAGTTTTGTTCAGACAATTCGGTTTTGCAGACTGAGCCAAGCGGTGATGATAAACCAGAAATTTACTTTCTTTTGCGGCTGTGACTTATGTAAAGCTGCATTTTTGATGTTTACAAGGTATTCTATAGAATGCTAGAATTTTCTGTTTCAGTAAATATAACCCTTGGCTTTGAAATGATTTTCAAATGTCTTTTTAAACTTGTATCTTGGTCTGCCTTTGGCTCTATGTGTTCTCCTGGTTTGTGCATTTGTGTATAGATTCTGTGATGTTTCCCAGGAACCTCTCATCTTTCTCCCCCGAGGTGTTGTAAACTGTGTCAGTTTGAAATGTGTGCATGCCCTAGATATGCAACCTTTCAGCAGCTTGGGTTACAGTGTATGCACATTGTATGTAAGTGTTTTCTTGTGTCCTTGGATCCCAAAGATGCTGTCGTTTTTACTAAGTGTTGAGCTGATTAAGAAACTTCACAAATGATAAAGGGATGAAGTCTTTATTGGAAGCTGATGCTACTTTTCCTTCTAAATTGAGAAACCCAGATGCATTTTTATAATTTAGTTTGAAGAAGTGTTTAAAATAGTTTCCTTGCTGTTTAAGATTCTTCACTCCACTCAAAATGAGAATTCTGAGATGAGCCATGTCCTTCCAACCTCCCCAACCCATTTAGAATAGGCTGCCAGGAGGAAAGTGAATGTCTGTATATAAGGACAAAATCGTTTGTTTTACATAAATTTTGTTACATATTTTTGCTAATGGCTTTGTATGTAACAAGAATCCAGTTGCCAAGCTATTTGTCATACTTTTGAATTTTCTGATAAGTTACAGGTCACGAATAATGACTTTCATGGTGAGAGACTTCATCAAACTTAAAACTAAGAGTACTACAAACTGAACACTTCCCCAAAGCTTTCAAAAAAAATATTTTCTCATAATAAAATCCAAGTAAACAGATAATTAAAAGAAACCTTTCCCTTTAGGGAGCCAAGTAACTATATTTTAGTACTGACATACATTATTTTCACTGTGAATCATTTTTTTATCGCATGTTCAGGTGTTGTTGGCTTTTTGTAACATTAACTGCAATGATGTTCTTCCTGGGGTTCATGAAAATATAATTAAAGCAAATTTTTGAACACTTGGTGATTTTTTTTTTAAATACAATTGAAGTTCATGTGGTAACTGTTGATTATGGGATTGAGAGCACTTAAACTTTCATCATAGAGGACAGTTTTATGTAATAGTTTAAGGCTCTGAGCATTTTCATTATGTTAAAGAGTGTATTTGTAAGATAACTTGGGGAGCTATAAAATAGAATGAACTGTGTCTCTGCATTGACCCGGGAATTTAAAAGTAATTCTTGGTGACTGGCCTGGTAGTGGTGTTGGTGGTGGTTAGGTGGTGTTAGAGACCCACTCGGGGAAGACAGGTAGATGCTCTGTTTGGCAAATGGATGTGTGTGAAGGTCTGTGATATGGGGAGGGAAGTAGTCAGCCTGTGCTTTCCTCAGTGCCAACTCTGACCTTTTCCCCAGTATTGGGAGCCATCTTTTTTCATAAACACTAGAAATCAGTTGGAGATAGGTGCGTCAAGGTGAAAGGGACAAAGTCCCATTTTTACGCTGTTCTTGAACTTGAAGTCTGACTTTCTTGGGCCTCTGAACCTCTAGAGTTCTATCCTTAGACTTTGGTTCATTTTTATTGTCTTTATTTCAAAAAAGATTGACATAATGAAGTGTTGTTGAAATTAAATTGCAAATAAATACACTTTAGCTGCTTTTTGGGATTTGATGGAATCTATTCTAAAAAAACAAGAAAAGAAAGAAAGAACCCAGACTCCAGTCATAATGTGAATGGTTGGGGCCATGTGGTAGGTAATAAAAACAGTCCTTTCGGTGTCCAGGTGTGTAGCCACACTTACATGGTTTTGTCTTCTACGGACAGGATACAGGAAACAAAGGGAAAGCAAATTTATAACAGTCATTTGAGAATTGCATGATAAGCAGTAAATCTTATGTTTAAATAAGCATTTGATGTTCAGATCAGACTCATTAAGATTTTTCTTGTTTGGAGGATGGATGCAGGACTGACTCAAGTCTCAAGGAATCCACATAAGTGAGATCTCCATCAAGGGATTAACAGCAGGCTTTCTGATGCTTTTATTTTGAGAACTAGAGAGTGTGGGCAGCTGCTAGTCTCTGAAACTCTGACTTAGAACTGTGGAGTTTCAAAGTTTCCTCATAACTTTTTCCTTAGAGGCTGCATGTTCCAAAGCTGAGCAGTGACAGGTGGCAGTTGCTTGTAGCAGTAACAACCTCCAGAAAGCACAGAAGCAAAACTGCTTACATAAATCAGGTCAAGCAACTTTTCTCACTGAAAATCCTTTAGTGGGTCCTGTCACAAAATAAGTTTCCAAAACGTTGCGCACAAGTCTTTGGTTTGGCGTTCTTGTCTGTTTGTGCAGTCTGCTCTCTCCCACTTTGGACCTCACTTGTCACATTTTTCCGTGTACATCTTGGATGCTCCCTTTCTCCGGGAGATTTCCTCGATCATTAGCCCTTCTTTCTCAGTTTTTCCCAATTCTTCTAGAATTATCCAATCCTATTTGCAGGGTCTCCTGTACAAGGTGGCTCCTCAGATAGCATGGCACTGTGTTATCTGCTCACACCTCTGTCCCCTCCACCAGCCTCAGGCAGTGACCATGGCCTCCGCCCTGTTCCTACTGTAGGACCTAACCCCTATGTCCATTCAATAAATGTTTGCTAACTTGATGAATGAAGGTCCAGACACACGTGAAAGAAAATAGCACACCTGATGTCTCAGTTTTTTTCACTCTCGGAGGGAAGAAGCAGTGTCTTGTTCTAAATGGCATTGTTTGGTGATAAGCGCCTGTCTGTTCACACTTCTTGTCACTTCTTATTTCTATCCAGCCCATCTTCTGTCCCCTTCTGATTCAGTGGTTCCTGAGTCATTTGCTGTACAGTAGCTGATATTTGTAGAGCATCCTGTAGCACAGAGGCTTGCACATTGCTTGCATCTCGCCTGGTCTCTACAACAATCTGGTGAGGAGATGATGTCCCCATTTCATAGATTCAGAAATGAGGCTCAGCCCATTTGTGAATTACCCAAGGTTGTAGTGGGACGAGAAGTAGCTGAGCAAGAGCATTCCAACTCTTATGTTAGTCTTCTCCCCTTCACACCATTCATTGCCCTTTGTGAAGACTTTAATCAACATTTAGTCAAAAAGCTCTCCAAGCCAGCGATGCAGGTGTGTGTTAAGGTTGTAACAATTGTCGTTACCGAGTCACCGACTGGTTGATGTGGTAAGATACATTGATTTTGTTCCATATGTCCAAACTAGAAATGTAACACATATGGTAGTTAAAAATACAAGGAAAGTGAAAAAAAACCTGTACCTATATTTCTGTGTGAGTGCATGATGTGTGTGTGCACACATGTGTACAAACATGCCACTGTGTGTGTGTGTGTGTGTGTGTGTGTGTGTGTAAGTCAGAGGACAACTTCGTGGAGTTGATTCTCTCGTTTCACCTTTACATTTCAGGGATCAATCTCAGGTCATGAGACTTGCCTGCAAGTGCGTTTACCCACTGAGCCTTTATGGTGACGCCACAAACCATCTTTTTTTTTTTTTTTTTTTTTTTTTTTTTTTTTTTTTTTTTTTTTGAGAAAGGATGTTACTGTATAGTCAAGACTGAACTAGTTTGGTCTTTTTGAGACAGGGTCTCCCTGTAGCCCCAGCTGTCCTGTAACTCACGATGTAGACCAGGCTGGCCTTGAACTCACAGAGATCCGCCTGCCTCTGCCTCCCAAGTACTGGGATTAAAGGTGTGTGCCACCACGCCCGGCACAAACCATCTTTTAAAAACTAAAGTAGCTAACATCTTACTCTATGACCTTTGAGAAAGTAAACCTGCTAATATATTACCGAGGGTTGGGAAAACATTCCCAGGGAAGTGAGGGTGGGAGAGTACTAGGCTGGGAAGAAGAATAAGAAAATACAAGGGATAAGTTAGTGAGACAACTACAGCTTTAAAGCTGCTTAGATTCATAGGATGTCTCTAGAGGTGGTATGAAAGACTGCATTTGAGAGCAGCTCGCTGTGGGGAAGGAGGGTACGAAGGGCACCTTCCCATGGCCTTCCCATCTACATCCAGTGGAGAAGTTAACCCTTCATTACCATGTGGGATTCCAGATTGTACTGCATAGCCCTCCAGGCAGCCACTGCAGAGCTAGAGGCTCCTGGTCAGTACACTGACCTCTACCCCAGTTGGGGCTAAGTCTGGGGACACCTCAGTGATGGCAATGGCAGCTGCAGTAGTGACTTCATCTCAGCAGCTGTGGGAATAGCTGAAAGCCATAGAAACATTTGACTTTGGGATGGGATTTGCAGAGATGAGAAGAGCTAGAGTGGTCCACAGCCTGGGTCTTGTTGACTGCATCTCTTGCATTAGGTTGATTTTCTTGTGGCAGATCTTATTATAGGAGAATAAGATCTCTTGTAGATGGTAATGACCAGTCCTTCCAGATAGTGGTCAACGTCATCCTTTAGGATTGTACCCACTGCTGCAGCTGGTCCATAGCCATAACTGCTACCTTGCTCCTGTCTCATGGCCTAGTTTCCCACACCCTCCCTGAACAGCAGCTATCCTAGGTTGCTTACCTGATGGCTTGACACAGTCCCTCATCTCTGGTGTATATGAGCTCTGTTGTAGATTGAATCTATAATGCTCCCACAAGCCCACATGTGAAAGGTTTGGTCCCCAAACCATGGAGCCATTAAAAGATGGTCAGAACATTTAGGAAGTGGAGCCTTGTAGGGTCATGCCCTTGAAAGGACTGAGGTACCCTAGTATCCTCCTGTATCTCTTTGCTTCCTGGCCATGATGAGATAAACAGTCTTACTTCACCACAAACTCCTGCCACAATGTCCTATGCAGCCATGCCAAAATCTTTCCTCTTTACAAGATGATTTAACTCAGATATTTTGTTATATCCACAGTAAATCAGCACAAACCCTCAGCTGTTTCCCTTTGTAAGACATTAGTCAACGTGAGTACTTGTTAACAATTGCTGGTAGGCATAGAATCACTAAGAGACCTCAGTGAGTCCTGTGGTCTGTCTGCTCCCATTCTTGTTTTATTGTGTAGTTAACTGCAG